CTGGGGATGGAGGCATCACGGCCTGAGGACGGATTCCTGTTTCCTGCAACAAGGGGAGTCTCCACTGTGGCCTGTTTGGAAACTGGAAAGGAGAGTGAAGACACGGTGCTGCTTTTCCACGCTTCCCCGGAGGTTTCTGGGTCCCCACAGAGCTCGGGAAGCGGTCAACATGGTCTCTCTTTCCGGGGCCAGAGACGCGTGAGCAACAGGCCCCCTTGCAGAGGGCAAAGGAACGTGGAACCCGAAACCACGCTTCATCGGCCTGAGTGCGACTCCTGTGCGGATGGGACTATCGGCCTCGCGCTCTGTTGCAGGCTCAACGTGGGGCGCAATTCGCTCATTCCTTGGAGACGGAATTTGTCTGAATTGTTCCGGGATGAAGTGACCCAGACTGGGGATCCGGAGGGCCAGTGAGCGCCCCGCAGGCCGACGCAGCTGTGGGCCGAGCCCTTAGCCCGCACTGGGCACCCAACATTTTCCCGGAGTGCAAGGTCCTGTTGGTCCTGGAGGCAGAAGACCGCTTTCCTCTCTGCCTTCCTCTCTCTGTCTCTGCCTCCCTTTCTCCCTCTGTCCTTCCCTTCCTCCCTCCCCACTCCCTACCTCCCTTCCTCACCCTCTCCCCACTTTCTCCTTTCCAATGTCCCTCTGTCCGTCTGTCCTTTTCTAGCTCCGTTCCTTCCTTTCTCTATGTCTGTGTTCCTCTCCCCATCTCTATTTTTCAACATTTTATGATCCCATTGTGTGTATCCGTGTGTTAACTTTTTTAGCAATAAAGTTCATTTTCATTAAGATATATACATTGTTATTTAGACACGTTATTTATGTATGTGCATTTATTTAATATACATAAATTTATGTCAGAGTTATTCTACAGCATAGTGTAAGCATAACTCGTAAGCAGTGTCAACCTGAAAATTGTGTCTCACATGACTGTGGTTCTTTTCTATCGCAGTGGTGGAGGATAAAATCTCTATGTCTCCAATTGCTCTCTGTGTATTCCCATTGAACTGGCCCCATTTCCTGTAGTAACGGAACACTGTCCCCGGACTATGACAAGAGCTGTGGGCTGCGGGGAGGTCAGGGTTAGGATGACGCAGAAGTGAAGATAAGACATTCTCTTTTTCACA